TACACTAAGAAGGGATTTTTAGAAATTTCCCCGCGGGGGGTGAGGGAGAGAATATAGTTTTCATCGAGTACTTAGGTGTATTAAATTAATAACATTTCAGACATTGTTATAAATATTTTTATCCATTTCGATTTTAAAAATGTTCGAACCGTTTTAAATTCGAATTTGTTATTGCGTATTGGTTCGATTATAGAACGATTGTAAACGTTCCAGAAAATTGATCAAATTGAAAATAGTTCGTTTGATTCTCGGCAATTCTCTTCAGCGGTAGGTGTTATATAACAATTACTATGGTTATTGAAATATTGAATGTAATGGGGTTTGCTTGCAAAACCTCCGCGGACGAAGTCGCGGGTAACAGCTAGTTATTCATATTAAGATGGAAACATTTTAAAAGAAAAGATCTAAAACGTGTTATAGCAGAAATTTATAAACGTTATTTGTTCAATGATTACAAGTTTCACATGAAAGTACCGAATAACATTACAGAGGAATTCACTTATTCGACCTGTTTATTATTTATCGGTCTACAAAGCGAGAGAAATCTTGTTTGGAATGAATATATAGGTACGACAGTGTTACGTTATACACTCCTTTTCTTTGTAAGCGAAAAGGATCCACGTGATGACTGCTGGCATAAAATAGCCACGAGCAATGCGACTCGAAGCGCAAGATGGGCTTTTAACTGATAACTTATCAGTTAAAGGCTTTCTGTTTTTACTTCACTTTCTAATGTAAACCTGTAATTGTGCTTTGTGTGAATGAGTGACACCTACGAAGACAAAACTTAATTTTTACTTAATTACGGGGCGTCGATGTCCGTTCATTTAGAACATACGAAATAAGTGTTGATCAAATAAAGATTTAAAGATTTTGTAATCTGTTACTAAAAGTAACATGTAATTGTTAATTCTTTGTAAAATTAAATTTTTGTCAGTTGTTTTCGGGTCGAGAAAAAATCTACAGCTTCCTCTATTAACGAACTTGTTTAATCACTTTTTACAATGGATGTTATTAATTGATTAATATTATGTTAGCGTAATGATTTTTTACTTTCAAGCTTTAGGTTTGTATAATTAAATAATGGGAAACTCCAGGAAATAGAAGTTTGGGACTAGCATTATTAGTTATAACAGTACAGTATACAATGACCTTTACACATAGATTCAGAATACGATAGGTTACAGAAAAATCAATTAATGTTCGTCGAAAATTACAAAACAATTTGACAGGATATCTAGAATATTTACATTTTCTATAACGAAAGTTATACAGACAAGTTTTACTCTTGTAATTATTTCTTAATTCTAGTCGGAAAGTGACAGATGTAGTATCGAACATACATTAATATAATTAGTTAACAAAAAAACCGTTAATACTCCGTAAAAAAGAGTACATATACACAAAAATCTTTACATTAACAAAAGGTCACTTTGATATTAGCATTAATACCTATTGATAATCAAATAATAACTCTGACCTATCGTACAAAGTGTCTTCCTTAAAATATGTAGAAATATCTATATTCTATTAACAGGATTTTATTTCAGGGTACGCCCCTTATCAGTCTACTGAAAGGCATATTTCGTAATACTTCTTTGTTTATATGATAAAGATGACTTTTCTTTAAAAAAATGCATACAAAAAATTTCCTTTAAAAAATTTCACGATAATGTAGTTTTATTTCCTAAGAGCTATCGTACCAGGAAACGCTGTATTGTTTAAAAAAACATCTCTATTCTATGAACACAAAAGTATTTCGGGATAAGCTAATACAAAAAACTTTAATATCTATTTTTAAAATATTAGTCATGCATATATTGTTCATACAACATTGTCGAAAATCCTACAACTAACGTACAACAGACATGTTTGTTCAAAAGTAATAAATATTTTTCTGTTGTTTTAGGATTTCTTCGAGTGAGATACGAATCCAAAACAAAGAAAACGAAGAAATTATTATAACAGAGGATCAGTTAAATAAAGTCTTGAACAGGCAATTGGAACGTCATATTATATATTTCGAAAATTCGAAAGTACTGTTTATGCCTTATCCAATCGAGATCATCAGACAATTCGTTACGTAAGTTTTTCACGAAATTCATTTAATTTCAATACATTGTCATAAATAATAATTTATATTTTTTAAACAGTTATGTACAAACGGACGATCCCGGATTGACATCTATTACACACGCTTTCGATCTGTATCATCTGAGTTTAAGATTCGAGTTAGAGAATTTAAGAAAGAAATGCAGATCATTTATTATTCTGCAAATAAGTCTGCATACCGTTTGTGCAATCCACGATTTTGCACGTGACATCGGTGATCTGGTCGTAACTTATTATTGCTGGGTAGCTTTTGACTATCACGGAGAAACACTACTTACAACAGTCGACTTTATATGCTGTAAACTTGCAACAATTGATAGACTGCTATCTCGACCGATATATGAATCTGTCAGTGAATTGCGTTTACTCCAAGCCGTGTATCAGTGGAGCAAAGAACTAGTTAAAAGACAATCGGGTATAGACAACTTCCGTTCGATGAATAAAGAATCGAAAAGAAACGTAATAAGAAATGTTATAAAGCCATTTATTGGAAAAGTCAGATTTCTTGCCATGAATGAAGAAGAATTACAATCTTTTGTTTTTAAAATGAACTTGTTAAACGAAGTAGAAAAGAGTCATATCTGGCATGCTTTTAAGTATAATAATTATTCTTTATATCCCAGTTACTTCAGTCGAGAAACAAAAACAAGAAGCAAAATAAATTATTTTAGCTTGTTCTATTACATAAATCGTGGAGATCCTTTTATTGTCATAAACAGAAAGATGAAAGATTACATATATTTTAGCAGCGAAGTAGTTGTAAGGGAAGATTGTTACGTCACGACTCTTCGATTTCCAATGAAGCTTCGCGAAACTTTTCCAATGCACGTATACGGGTATATTAACGATTTGGACTACGGACAGTTTTCGTTAGACACCGTTTGCAATAAAGACGGAGTAGCATATCTGCAAACATTTTTGTATCTAAAAAAATATTGGTCAATTCGTTTATTTGCTTTCTTTTTCAGCGCTGAAAATGTCCATCCCGATTTCACGTTTTCAGCTGAACTGAGTAACTTTGTGAGCGACGAAGAAACAGATGCCAGGAAATTTGAAGACAAATTTTTAACCTGTGACAGAAACCTTGTGAATAATATTTACTTTTCGGTTGATTTATATTTTTGAAGTCAAAATTTTCACTGAAAAAACGCGAAATCTAAACGAGAATATAATGTAAAGTTACTTCGAATATGATTATTTCTTACTGTATCAATGAATGAAATAATGAATTTATTGTGTTTTCAGAAAACAAAATTTAAATATAAAATGCTTATTAATGTAATTTGTTTTCTGATATGTAAATTGTCATTAGTCAAGTTGTTTATATTTCAAAATTTATTATTTCCTAATATATCTTCATCAAGAAAGTTTATAGTTGTCAGCATTTGAACGATGATTACGTGCGTGATTTCATTTTTTATCGCAGTAGATGTTCGAGAAAGAAATATAATTACAATCATACAGGATTTATCTTTTATTTCTTCATGTTAATGACGATAGAAATAAGAAGAGTTAAAACTAGAATTTTTGTCTAAATGTACGAGCTATTCGATATCCACGTTTCAATTTTATTATTTACAGTATTGTTTTTTGTATTCGTTGTATAGAATGTGATGTTTTACCATTCTTTTCATCTATGATACTTTACATAAATTTAATTGGCTTCAAATTTGATTTTTTTAATTGAATGTGTCTGGAAATCTTACCTGGTTACTGACATTTTCCGTTAAAAGAACAGTGCGTTTAGAACGAGTTTATTGCAGAATTTCTACAGCAGCAATTTTCATAAAATTCAACTATTCAAAAGCTTTATAAGGTATAGCTTTAATACTACGTGATTACACTTAGGTAGTTTTAATAGCGGTACTGTACTTATTTTTAATACTAAACAATGGGACATTGAAGACCATTCAGAACTTTTCGACGAATTTTTATTGTCATATTATTTAAAAATTTACATTAATGTATTTTATTTTGTGGCAATTTTAATGATGCTTGTTTATTGCATGCGTGTTTTATGAATGGGTATGTTCAGGTACAAAGACAAGCAATTAAATAATGTTTTGAAAATTTTATTCTGTTTTGTGTAAAGAAACAACACTGTGTAATTGTGTCAGAAGACAATTACACAGTGTTATTTATTCCTTTAATTGAATAGAATGTAAATATTTGATATCATGCTAGAGTCGAAATTTCTTTTGAGTTCGTCTTTTCCTCTTCAACATAGAGTATAACATAACACACATGAAACGTAATTAGTCAAAAAGTGAAAAAGTTGTAGAACAATACAGAAAATTGTGAGATAAAAATGCTATTTTAATTACAACTTGTAGGAATTAGTATTTTTCCTATCAGTTTGATTTATTTCTAGCTTTATAGATGTAATAGGTAAATTGGCAGGCTGTTAAGGCTGTTAACTTGAATATGTTTAGTGTTTACACCTATTGATTAAAAACATACAATTTAATTTGTGATAATTTATAAGTAGTAGTGGTTTGACACATACTGATCACAAAATTAATTTTCTAATTACAATTTTAAATTAAATTTATTTTATTTTAAGAACAAAGCTATATAAATTANCACCACAGGAGTAACAGTTTAAAAAATTGCTTTTGAAGAAAACTTCTAATGAAGAAAACACTTCTAACACAGGTAAAAATTGGTAGAAAAGTCCACAAAGTTAAGAAAGATCAAGTGCCAGCCTTTTCTTTTAGGTTCTGACACTTTTTACGTTAAAACCACAATGAATTCTTCATACCATATTATTTTATCCACTTTTAAACTGCTTCTGGCCTTCTGGCAGAACCTAAAAGAAAAGGCTGGCACTTGATCTTTTTTAACTTTGTGGACTTTTCTACAAATTTTTACCTGTTTTAGAAGTGTTTTCTTCATTAGAAGTTTTCTTCAAAAGCAATTTTTTAAACTGTTACTTCTGTTTTGGTGTATAAGGGATTTAAAAAGATAGACTCGAAAAATTTAATTCTTTGCAAATAGTCTAAAAACTTCAATTAAGAATAAAAAATTATAGTGTAAAAAGAAAATCACATTCACTCTAACGGAACTCGAAACAACAACCGTGTCAATATAAAACTAACGCACCAATATGTAAATTATGAAGGCTTTAATTGAGTGCAAAGTGACTTCAACGTCATGCTGTTACTCGTAAGCACGTAATGGTCCACGTATATGCTAATTTCTTAGATACGTGTATGTGAGATCACAATAAATACACATATAAAGACAGTTATAATGTTGGATATACAAAATATACAAGTAATGCAATTATAAAATTAAGTGCTTTTGCAAAGAGGCGGTGACGTCAAAGTCATGTGGCATCTGCAGCCAATTACCGTGGTGATTTATTTCTAGTTCTAAGTGCGTGTTGCCTCCGTTGTTCGACGTCATACTCGAGAGTTCAGTGCGGAAACGAGCTGAAGAAATGGCGGATCTAGAGGTGCAGAGTCGGTAAGTAGTTCTATTGTTTTCTGTATATAACGTTTCTACATGTGTGGGCGCAAAATAATTTTACGTAATTTGTCATTGACTATCGTATGTGTCTCTTTTATAACAAAAATTGAAAAAGAAAGCGATGCTGTACTGTTATCGAAAGCTTAAAAAATAACGTGATAAGTGACATAAGTAAATTTTCTGTCTGTTATTTGTAGTTATTTCATGACATATGTTCGCGTCAAATAAACATACTCTTAGTGAATTTTTATATATAAATTTTCTAGAATATTTAATCTAAAAGTATTTAATTAACAAAAGTTTCAATTGTCTTAATGGAGACAATGACTAAGCAAAACTTCACAAAAAGCTCATTCCCTTGTGTAAATCATCGTCTGTTTACAATGTTCGAACTCGAGAAATAGACTCTTTTACTTTTAGAATTCAAAGGGTTTAAGTAGATTAAAATTTCCCGTTTCTTGGTAAAATTATCTTCGATCTTTGAAGTTTGAGTTAATAAACTTTGTCTAATTTTCAATATGCAGATGATTAATAGAGGAGAAGGTGGTATTATGGAACCCCAATTACATTTTAGTGAATTGTAAACAAGGTATCATAACTACACCCACATTTTTTGTGCAGAAAGTACTGGTAACTAGTAAACTAAATGTTCCTAATTAGATTTTTCGCTAGTGTAATTATAAGTATGGTTTTTGAAGGCTTTTGTACAAAAAGTCCAAAAGTAGGCTTAGAGAAAATCGGGTGGTAATATGGAACCTTACTGTATATTTTCAAAAAAATGCTTTAATGTAGCCAAAAACAAATAGGAAAGGACAAAAAATGTTAAATAATTAC